TATGGCTGCGCGTCTACTGCCACCCACCCACGCGGCCTGAGAGTGGGCAGGGCCTCTACTGTCCCACACCTGCCTCAAACTCCCAACACGGAGAAGCAAAGACTCCGGCCACCACACCTCTGCCCAGAACCCAGCAGTGCCCACCTGCCTGTTTCTGTCTCTTTTCCCAGCCCAGGACCCAGGTGGCTTGCAAGGCCTCACGTCTGGAGAATACAAGGCTCCGCTCAGCCCCCACTTCCAGGCCTTCCGACCCTGGCCCTTCCTGGGCACAGCCTCCCCAGACCTATTGGTCAGCCCGGGATGTCCCGCACCTCCCAGTGGCCACTGCGGTCCTGACACTGAGTCTGCGCAGTGCCATGACTGCACCTTACCACTCCCTCAAAAGCTCCCAGGGAAAACTGCCCCCACCCAGGCCCGAGACTTGAGGCTCCCACCCTTCACCCCTCTGGCTCGGCTCTGGGGCAGTCCCACCCACAAACCACCACCCTCTGCTGCGCCCACCACTGGGCTGCAGTCTTTGATTTCCTGGGAAAGGAGTTTCAGGAGAACTTGACTTGCAGGAGACAGCACCTCTATTCATACAGGAAGACCTTGCTTCAGTGAGGAGGGCTGGCCAGGTACAGCCACCTGCTGCACGCCTGGCAAGGGCTGGGTGAGCGCTGGACTCGGGGACAGGGTCTCAGTCCTCAGTGCAGTGCTGTGGTGGCTGCGGGACCCGGCACGGGTGTGATGATGGAAAAAGGAACCTGGTGCAGCTGCATAAACAGCTAGAAAGGAGCAGAAGCAGGGCCTGCCCAGCCCACCAGGGCATCACCCACCCGGGTGCCTGCCTCAGAGGGCAGCCCTGGGGGAGGGGAGGCTCGGTGGCTGATATTTGTGTTTAAGGATGGAAAGCGCCACAGTGCTGATACTGTGTGTAAGGATGGAAAGCACTGCAGTGCTGATATTGTGTGTAAGGATGGAAAGCACCGCAGTGCATGGTTGGTTTGTGTTTGAATCTTTCACTGATGGTTCCAAAAGTTGGATCTCACATGCAGGTGCACAGACTCACAGCCCTGCCCCGTACAGGCAGGGACATGGTTCACCCAGAAATGCTTTAGCTCAGAGACAAGGCCGGGGAGGCTGGAGGCTATAATTCCTCTCTAACCATTGGCCCCCTCTTTTCATAAAGAGAAGCATTTCTAGTGAGCTCCTCTTCATCCCTCAATACCCTATTCAAATGCCCCCTCATGGATGCATCCTTGCTGAGGTCCCGGCAGGAAGAAGTGATGACACTCTGGGGCCACAGTCTGAATTCCCGCACCTGCAGCACTGCATGGCTCTCTGTATTGGGTGTTTTGAGTTGACGCCCCCGTTCACCTCCCCTGCTGCCATGGGTATACACCTTCTTTCAACAGATGAGTGAGTGAGCAAATGTATGAATAATTAAGCAGCCAACGAATGAACAAGTGAGCACAGTCAGGCTTCCTCCGGCATTCCGGGCGCCTCTGGTCACGGAACACGGTAGGGGGAGCAGGTGCCTCCCCAATTTCAACCCTACTCACATTCAATTCCAACCCGGCCCAACACAGCACAAGTTTTCTCTTTAGCAAACACAATTCACAAGTGAGGAAACTTATTATGCACACAGAGCAAGAAAATAGAAAAGCAAAAATTAAATTAGATGGCAGCCTGGAAAATGCCCACTGTGCAAAAAGAAGCAAGCTAACTAATTTGTTTGGCCCCCCTTGAAAATGGTACGGTTTTAATTTGGGTCTCTGGGACCCGGCTCCTGAGGCACAGGAGGCTCCTGGTGAGAGGGAAGTGAATGCGGTTTCAGATGAGCAGACCCAGATTCAATTAGTAATCAATTCTGACCCCAACTCTCCCCACGGGCGGGCGGAAGTCGTGAGAAGAAAGGACGGCCTGGCTGTGAACTCCTTGGCAGTGCAGAGCACCTCTCTCCTTCCCAGTCTTGGGAAGCATCAGTGATCCCGAGAAGGCGCCCTGGCCACCATGTGTTCCAGTGGTTCCAGATACAGACAGCCAGGAGGGCAGTGGCTGTGGGAGAACCAGTCCCTTTCCCTGGAAAGAAGGCCGCCACATCTCTGCCCCAGCTTGCCCCGGGATCCAGCTCTGTAGAACCGAGGCCTGAGAGCCACAGAGCAGCCCTGAGGCCCTGCGTACCTGGTGTTTAATCACATGCCTTCCACAGATGCAAATTGATAGATGTTTTTAATAAGGACAAAAACAAGGCTCCAGGGCCCGCTCCTCCCGCCCCAGGTCCTCAAAATGCACCAGAAGCCTCTGATGGCTCCCCTCTCCTCCAGCCCACTCCAGCAAGCTCAGCCTCTCGCCCCACAATCCCCCTCCCAAGTGCCAAAGAGCTTCCCAGAAACCCTCAGGGCTGGTGGCAGGAGGGCCGGTGGCACAAGGCTGCAGGGTCTAGGGAAGACAGGTGGCTCAGCCGGAAGGCCACCTGGCCCATGAGTTCTTCCCGGGTACCCCACCTGAGCAGTGCACACAACCCCCAGGTGCACAGGGCATCTGCGGGGAGGAGAGGTGCACAGGCTGAAACCTGGGCAGAGCGCGCTCCCTTCAGCCAAGAGCCTGCAGCCCCCTCCCCTCCCTCCCTTCCTGTAAAGGCCACAGGGGTCAGGGTCCAGGTAGTGGGCCCTGGGGCAGACTCACTGCCTGGCCTATTCCTGCACAGTCTTAGGACACGTTCATCAGTGAGACACCTGGAGGAAGCTCAGTGACTCCGTCAGCCCTCATCCTCCTGACCACGCCCTGACTCTGCTGAGAACCCCAAGAGGGGTCTATCCGGCTTTAGGGGATCAAGGGCTTGTCCTATTAGAACACCTTTCTCCTGGTCATACTGGGAGTTTTTTTTTTTTTTTTTTTTTTTTGAGACTCGCTCTGTCGCCCAGGCTGGAGTGCAGTGGTGCGATCTCGGCTCACTGCAACCTCCGCCTCCTGAGTTCAAGCAATTCTCCGCCTCAGCCTCCCAAGTAGCTGGGATTACAGGTGAACGCCACCACGCCCAGCTAATTTTGTATTTTTAGTAGAGATGGGGTTTCACCATCTTGACCAGGCTGGTCTTGAACTCCTGACCTCGTGATCCACCTGCCTCAGCCTCCCACAGTACTGGGATTACAGGCGTGAGCCACTGCGTCCGGCTTACACGGGCGTTCTTATTCCTAGTGCAGCCGCCTCCCCCGTGGGGTGCTCAGGATACCTCGGCCCTATCTCTGTGCGCCCCATCCCTTCTCCATGGACCTTCACCAGCACCTACAAAGCAGCAGGCTCTATCCCTGACCCCGTGTTCCAGATCACAGCACAGCACAAGGGCAAGGCTGCCCACGTCGGGCTCCTGGGCAGAGTCGGTGGGATGTGAAGTTGGGTATCTGGAGCCCCCGCAGGGGCAGCAGGGGAGAAAAGGACCCTTGACCAGAGTCAGAAAACCTGGACTCCAAATCCAGCCCTGGGAAGCCTGGCAGGGGTCTGCCCTCCATGGGGTGGGCCAGCTGAGTCTGGGACCCATCTCCACAGGTCCCTGCACCACGTCCCTGGAAGGCCAGTGAGCGCTGCACCCGGCCTAAGATGCCTGCACCCATGTTCAGTGCAGGATGCCACGGATATAGCTGCCCTGAAGTCCACCAAGGCCTGGAGGGGCCACCAGCCAGTGACACCCCTATATATCCTCGGCCTTACTCCACCTGCCCAGCCCCTGCCCCTATCTTCTCCTGCCCAGCCCCTGCCCCTACCTTCTCCTGGCTTTGCAGGGCCTCTGCCCCCACCAGGCCGCAGCACGAGGGCAACCCCACAGCAGCTCAAGTCTACGCCTGCCACTCAGGGATGCTGGTTTCTCTCCACCCCAAGGAGTGGCCTCAGGCCCCCCGCCTAGGGGACTCCGCATCTCACCCACAGGGGACCCTCCCTCCCTGCACTCTCTCCTGGGCTGTGGTCAAGCTGCTGTGCCTGGAACCAAGGCATCCAATACCCCGCGTGGGCTCCTTCACCCCATGGCTGCCTGGACTGGCACACGGCTGCTGCCGGCTAGGCCCATAGCAGTGCCCATATCTGCCCCAGGGAGGGGTCTCCCCACCCACTCTGGTCACAAGGGGGGCGGGCAGCTTGGATTTAATGCCGGCCCTACGCGCCCACCCCTGACCTTTGGCTGGTGTTGACACCAGACGCCTTCCCAGGACACACTGGGCCTTGGGGAGGTCCCGGCTGTGGGGTTCCCAGGTCTCACGCTGACCCCTGAGCCTGGCTAGTCTCCAATGACCTTGGTCAAGCCCACACTCCCCGTACAGTCAGCAACAGTATAAGTACAGCAGAGTTCCCTACCAGCGGACAGGCTCCCACCAGGCGCCAGGACAGCCCCTCCCACCCTGTGCCACCTCATAGCAGGTGCCCTTTCCAAGTGCCCTTTCCAGCAAGGCTGAGCCACAGCGCAGCTTGTCAGCAGCTTGACATCTAGGGGCCGGGGATCACCACCAGCTGACAGCAGGCGCTCCTCTGCACGTGCTCAGAGCCCATGGGGGCCGGAGCTGTGGCCTCCCGAGCCTAGGCACGAGAGTGTCTTGAACTGGTCAGACCCAGAGACAAGGAGCCAGGTCCCGCTGGCAGCCTCGGCCAGACCACACGTAGACGACGGAACAGCACCCAGGGGACCTCGCCGTCCTGCAGACGGCCCCTCTGCTGTCCTTTTCCTCTCCCAGAGGCAACACCAAAGAACCACAGCCTCGGGCAAGAGACCCCCACACATAGGCAAGTAAGGCAGGGTGCCGGCATCTCCCTGACCACCCCCAGGAACTGGAGACTGCGCCCCAGCCAGTCCCCAAGCCACGAGCTCACACATCCACGGGAGCAGCTGTGCCAATGGCCAGGGGCCTGACCTGAGGATACACCAAGGCCTAGGGGGACCTTCAGGGAAGGGGCCGCATCAGGGAAGAGGCACCCTCGGGGATGCCGCGCTCAGCGCCCGGAGGGGTCCCAGGGCTGCTGGTGCTTACCGTCCACACAGGCGGGCCGGGCTCTCGTGGTGCCGGCGATCTGCCCCTTTCTACACGCACAGCGGGCGGTCTGCCGGGCGATCGTCCTCCGAGGCTGGCTGCTGTCCCGGTCCAGGGTCACAATCTCACAGGTGCCGGCGGCCAGCTGACCTGCAGAGAGGAGCAGAAGCAAATGAGTGGCCACACGTTACAGATACCCATAGCCAGAGCCCACCACCAAGGGGCCCCCGGCGGCCAGGCCACAGGGCAGGGAGACCACATCACTCAGAGGGAGCGTCCGAAAGCACCTCGAAGGCTGCCAGCAAGGAGCGCTCGATGGAAGCCAGAGCTGGGTCAAGTCGGCGACCTCCACCCTGTGCACAGCCTGGCGTTCAGGCAGCACTGCCTTGGCAGACAGGAAATTAAACGCAGCCCCATCTTTGTCACGCGCGGAAATGAAAGGCTCGGATCACGAGGAGGGAGCTGGCTCTCCTGCACACAATCAGGCGCTGCTGGAGGGAAGCCGGGCTCTACGAGGCACAGTGCTTGGTCTCCATCCCCAAGCGCCAGCACACTGGACCCAGGGCATGGCATTTTGGAGCCGGAAAACAGGTCAGACCCCCTCTCAGGCTTGTCGAAGGCTGTGTGGAACCAGCCACGCTGCCAGGGAGGAACTGCCATCCCCGCCTGGGTACAGAGGCATGAGCAGGCAGGCACCACTGTGTGTATCAATGCCAAAGCGTTCAGGGTTTCCTCTGCCCTCCCACAGTGCCGTGCACGCCCCCACACACATATGTGCATGTACATATATGCACACAGGCACACATGGCCGCACACAAGGCACAGATGTGCACACACCACACCCCTGGAGTGAGCCACAGGCATGCAGGTTTACATGGGTGCCACCCAGGTATGAGCACACTAAGGCCAGGGGGCCCAGGCTCACTAGCAGCACATGAGGATATGCTCCCCAGGGGTGCACGTGCCCATGCAGACACAGGTACACCCAAGCTTCATGGATGTGCTGTGCAGACACCCATCACCCATGGGTGTCGTGGACAGGCACCCACAGGGGTACCCTGCATCCCTGATCTCTCGTCATACCACCTCTGCTCCCCACATTACAGACACCCCACGGGGCAGGAGGTAGGCGGGAAGGACCCTGGGGGCAGAGTCAGGGTCTGAGATCACCTGTGGTACAGAGAAGGGGCACATTTCTTCCAAAGGTGCCAGCATAAATAATTTCCCTGGCTTTCCTCGCTGCCCCCTCCACATCCCCTAAATTCCAAGGAGAAGGCTGTCTCTGCAAGGGGCCGGCAGCCCGGGCGTCTCAGGAGCGGGAAGGTGAAACACCAGGAAGTTCTACCTGCAAATCAACCCATGGAATCTAAGACGCCACTCTGCTGGTAAAACGCGGCACGGCCACCGCCAATCACGGCCAGATGTTAACACTGACAGATAAAGACAGTGCCTGCGCTCCAGGTAAAGATGAAAACCCAGCACCCCCAGGGCAGGATGGAGCCTGTCCCTCAGCCAGTGCTGCCCAAATCCACCCTGAATGGTGAGTGACAGGTCCCCTGCCATCCAGCTCCACGTGGACACCTGCTCCCTGGAACCACCTGGATGTCCACTCACTGGCTGCCTCACTCCTTCCTCCGAGCAGGTAACGAGCGCCTGCTGCAAGCCCTCCCCTGTGCAGCACCCTGGGGCCTCAGCAGTGAGAACAGTGTGGTTTCCTCCCCAGCGGCCCCGGCAGTGAGAACACAGTGTGGTTTCCTCCCCAGCGGCCCCGGCAGTGAGAACAGTGTGGTTTCCTCCCCAGCGGCCCCGGCAGTGAGAACACAGTGTGGTTTCCTCCCCAGCGGCCCCGGCAGTGAGAACAGTGTGGTTTCCTCCCCAGCGGCCCCGGCAGTGAGAACACAGTGTGGTTTCCTCCCCAGCGGCCCCGGCAGTGAGAAAACAGTGTGGTTTCCTCCCCAGCGGCCCCGGCAGTGAGAAAACAGTGTGGTTTCCTCCCCAGCGGCTCCTTCCACCTGGGGGAGATGGCGGCAGCATTACAGATGCCCGGACTCAGGGCTCCCAGCCTGTGGAGATCAGCAGAGAGTCTGGGGGCTGCCTGGGGGGCTCAGAACAACAGGATGACAGGGAGGTGACTCCGAGGAAAGCCGTGGTGGGTGCATGAGGGACGAAGGGTGGCCATTCCAGCCTTGCAGAGAGGAACCTGCAGGCAATGCCTGGGCGCTTCCCAGCAGCTGTTTCTCCAGCCTGGGTGCCCCTCCTTATCCATCCCACTCTTTCTCCTACGATAACCTTAGACGCCCCCTCCTCTGGCACCTGCCTTGTCAATTGTCACCTCTGGGTCCTCCAGCCCAGCACCCTGGCCAGAGCTGACGTCACATGTACTAGTAGGGTGTGGCTTGGAGGAACTTGGAGGGGTTGTCCAGCTCTCTCACCCCAACACCCAACACGGCTCAGGCTGTCCTCAAACCTGGGGAGTGCCCATGTCTGATTGTGACCAGGAAGCACAGGGGACAACTCCAGTGGGCACCAGACCGGCCTGCCTCAGCCCCTTCTGCCCACGGTGCAGGGCATGGAGCTGTCCAAGGTGGCCCAGGCCTGGCTGCAGAGCCCAGTGCATAGGGGCCTGCTGAGCCATGGCCGGTGCATGGCTGCGGGGTGCACGTGGCATGAGTTCACAGGAAGGATGCTGGGGCAGCAGGGGCCTCCCCTGGGACTGTGAACCAACCCCACCACCAAGCCCCTCCCACGATGAGCAAAACCCTCGTTGCCCTGTCGGGGCCACCTCCCCGAAGGCTGTGGGGAGGGCAAAATGCACACAAAATTACACACTTCTCCCAGAAAAGGGAGATACCAAATGAACAAGTGAAGAAGTGGATGAGTAAATACCGCGGGGAAAGAGCATCCGGGAGGATGAGGTGCTGCTTCTCTCCGGATAACAGCGGTGACTGCGTCAAAGCCATGCTGCGGAGTAGCACGCATCTGGGCGGGTCCCGAGCCCACGTCCTTACGTGGTGATTTATGCAGAAGTCGCTATGATCGGAGTATGGTCCCCGGCTGCTGTGTTAAGCTCTGCAGGTTGGCTCTGGGCCACTCCACTATTCCAGGCTGCGTTGCCGCCGCCTTGACCCCAGACCCTTCCCTCTAACATCAGCCCCAGCAGAGACTCACGGTGTCCAGGCCACCCCAGGGCCACCTGCCTCCTTGGGGCAGGGCCCAGCATGAGGCAGTTCTCTGGAATCATCCACGCACAGTAGCTGGTGCCATGGGGAGACGGCCACAGCAGTGGTGGGGGTACCGCTGAGCCTGAGACAGCCTGCTCGCCCTGCTGCTGAGCCTGGTCACTGACTAAGTCACCAACCACACAGCCCACCCCTCAGGCGCTACCTGACCGGCCAGGGTGTTGGCATGGCCAGCGCCCCGGGCAAGCCGCTGTCCCTCCTAGCTGCCCTCCTCCTCTGTAAGGGGCACAGGTGCCACACACTGGGCAGGGCCACACCAAGGTGCACTGGAGGGTTTCCAATCCCAGTTCACCCTCACCCAGGCGGCCCCCAAACCAGCCACGGCCAACCAAACTCTCAGTCCTCAGGTACACAATTCGAACCAAATTATGTGGACAAGATGGTACTGAGCCCTGAAACAAAGCCACCCCTACATCCCTGCCCTGCGGCCACCGGGAGGCTTCCTAGAGGAGGCGTCAGGGCTGTGCAGGAGCTTCCTGCGTAACAGAGCGCCACGGCGAGCTGTGCACTGGGCAGCCTCAACAGCACACGTTCTTCTCCCATGGTGCTGGAGGCCAGCATCTGAGATCCACGTGGCAGCCGGGCCGTGGTGCCTCTGAGCCTTTCTGGGCTGTCGTGGCCCTCAGCTCAGCCCCAGCAGGTGGATGCCTGGAGCCTGCAGTAGATGCAAGGGCAGGGATGGCTTCTGCCAGGCCAGGGGCTGGCCCAGGACTCACCCCAACCCCAGGGTCCCATTCTCCAAATGAGAACACCCAGCCCAACACCTGAGTGACCCCAAAACCTCCTTCTGGGACTACTGACAGGGCCAGGGCAGCCAAGAGCCAGGGTGGCTGGAGCTCCAGAGTGGAGCTCCCTGGCTCTCCCACAGCTGTTCCCCTCATACCACACGGGACTCACACACACATGTGCATGTACACACACCACACACCCACACACGTGTGAATGTATGTACCACACACTGACCACACATGTGCCCATATACACCACACACACTGACCACACAATCCACACACGTGGGTCAGCGTATACCACACAGAAAGACCACGCAGGCCACACACCACATACTCCACACACACAGACCACAGAGTCACTCACATGGTATGTATGCCCACACACACCCCAATCTCTGCCCACTGCGAGGCCTTTGGGGAGGGGTCCTGGCCAGCCTGGTCTCCAGGCTGCAGCGACAGGGTACTCAGGGGTCTGGCTCCGAGTGCCAGGTGATGCTCGGCTGCCATCCAGTGCTGACTGCTCTTCTGCTCACGAGCTCCAAAACCACCTCATTCTCAGAAACAGGGGTTCAGAAGGGAGGATGGGCCCACCCGGAGTCAGGAGCTGGGGAGGCCACACCAGGACTGCCTGTGGGGTGTGAGAGCCTGGAGGCGTCCTGATGTCTGGAGGTGCAGGATAGACCCGGGTTCCCAGGCCACCCCTTTGCACCTGCCCAGCTTCTAGAAGGAGGTCATTTGGGAAGTTCTGGGGTCCCCTGGGGATCTGGCAGGGCTGGGATAGTGGCAAGGCCCCCCCACAGGGCTTAGTGCCCTCAGCAAAGCACAGGCCCCTCCACCAGGCTGCCCCCTCAGTGTGCTGCTGGTCCACCCACGGTGCCAGCCTTTTCTCGGAGATAGGGGATGGTGTTTCTTTCTCTTCTCTCATCTTTTTGTTTTTAAATAAAGAGTTTGCATTGCTTTTAAGACCGGAAGGAAAAACATTCAAAAATAAAGCAAGTAATCACAATTCCTTCTCCAGCACCAACTCCCACAAAGCCCAGGCAGAGTGCTTGGGGAGTGGTCTCTGCTGAGAGGATGCGGGACCTTGCAGGCCCCCACCGGTGGCCTTTCTGCTGGGCTGGCCTGGACCAGGGGCCTGCCGAGGGCTCCCAGGGAGCGAGGCCGTGTGCACACGCGTGTG